CTTGCAGGGGGCGGCGTTGTACAGCCAGTGGCCCTCTCGCTTTAGCCACCTCCTTCCGTGCCCTCTGCCGACGCTCTTTTCATCTCTGCCGCCCCTCTGCACGTGCTCCACTTTTATTCAGAGGCTGCGGATGGTATGGCCCGGTGGGGGCCGACTCCCGTGGGGCGGGGGCGTTTTAGGGTTTTGATATCCACATGGGGTGCATCTTTAGGACGAGTCCTATTACTCGCACATGTTGCTCTAGAGCGATTTTTAAAGCCAATCAATAATACCTACATTTTGAGCAGCTGCTGCTGAGTGGCCTGTGCAAAGGCCCTGGGGTGGGAACGGGCTTGGCTCTTTTAAAAAACAGGGCAGGGGAGGGAGGGGGTGTGCATGGATTGAGCAGAGCCAGGGAGCAGTGGGAAGGAGGGGGGAAGACAAGAGCCAGGGATGGGCCACGTGTGGGTTTTGAATATATGATAAGAGCACTGGAAGCTTTGAAGGATGGGGGTGCGGTGGGCAGTGGAAAGGGGTTTGCATTTCATACAAATTCCTTTGGCCAGTGTGTGGAGAATGGACCGCAGGGGCGTGAGAGTGAAGCTGGGAGCCAGTTAGGAGGCCCCTGGGTTGTGCAGACAGGGGTGAGTGGTGCGGCCTGTGGACATGGAAGGAGTGGGTGATTCCAGAGGCCTTTTAGAGGGTGCCTTGGGTGACTGGAGAGGGACAGGTCGGGGATGACCCCCAGGCTTCTGGCCGGAGAAGCCCAGCTGGGAAAATGGAGATAGAAATCACTGAGATCAGGAACAGACTGGGGAGGGCGGTCACCAGTTCTTGGACAAGTGGGGTCTGAGATGTTGAGTAGGATATGAGGGGAGGGGCCTGGAGCCCTTTTGGTGGCAAATAACAGAAACCCAGAGGAAGGAACTTTGGAAGGGTTCTGAGTTTCCTCTTGGGCTCCAAGGGCAAGGCTCAGCTTCCTTCCTTTTGCCCTGACTCATCTTACCCTGGGGCAGACCTTCTCCTGTAGCAGGTGAATAAAAAAAAGAGGTAGAGAAAACAAACGTGAGATGCTTGTAGTTTATTGACACCAGCAAGGCGCGCTGGTGGGGGTGCAGTCAGGAAGCCAGCGGCTGTGGCAGGAGCTTCAGCGTTTGGGAATCTTCAGCTTCTAAATCTGATGGGCTTTGGATTCCTAACTCCTGAGTACACTGTGGGCTTCTGACTATTTTTTCCTGAAACACATATAGAAACAAACAAACACAAAACCAACACAATAGTGAATGAACCTCAAAGTTAGACAGAGATGATGATACATAAAAACTTTAACGTCAACTAAGAGGTACGGTAAACTCTGGGAGGATCTAAGATGGTAAGGGCTTTGATTACTTCTCAAAAGCCTCTTGAAAAAACGTAAGGGGGAATGCCTGGAAAGATGACTGCGCCTACTTGTCGGGGGACATTGACATTGTGATTCTCTCTAGATTAGAAATGGGTCCAAAAAGAAAAAAAAAAAAAAAAAAAAAAAGGGATGGCACTGCAGCTGAGGGGCTGGGGGAAGCCACTTCTAACCGGTGTGAGTGAAGGATGTAGGTTACCGTGAGCTTTAGGATGCTGTCCTTGGCCTGCTGGGGCAGGGTGTCCACCAGCCTCTTCAGCTGGATCCCCGCATCTTGCATGTCTTTATCAGGGCTGAAAGGTTGCACGGCAGCTTGGTAAGTGGAGAGGGTGCCCAAGAAGATGGTTTCAATGACTTGTAGAAAGGCTGGGCATACGTCTGTAGAAGCTGGAACCCAGAAAAGAAAAAGCATATGTATCCCGACCCTTTTCCAAGCTGGCCAGCACTCTGGCTGGTCTTGCCCCAGATGCGAACAGCCAGGCCTGTCAGCAAGAGATAGCAGCCTTTGCATGGCTGGAGGAGAATGTAGGATCTGGTGATGCTCCAAGCAGTGGACTATGTGGCACTGTGTGAATACTTTCTGGGTTACAGCCAGCTTTCTGTGGCTTGCCTGAGCCTTGCTTGGTCTTCCTGAGTTGGGGTTGGGCAAGGTGTTATTTGTACTTTCTGCTAGAGTTCTAAGCAGAGTATTGGTAATGGAAGCTGCTGATCTGATTTTTTTATGCAGTATGGGGGCTGGGAAGAGGCTGTTGAGAGCTTTATTTCCTGCCAGAAATTTGCTTTTCACCAGTGGTTAGGGATGGTCTGAGCTGTGTGTCACTGGGTGCATGTGGCAAAGTCAGTCTTTGGCAGGAAGAAACACTTGACCAGCCAAGCACAGGTCCCCAACCTGGTCTGGAAGCAGCGTGTATGCTCAGGTTGCAGACAGACAAGCCTCTTGTCCTGCTGTGTTGCCTTCAACCAAGTGCTCCCAGGACTGTGCTCCCTTCTCAGGTTCCTGACCCCAGGAACATGGGGGCACGTCACCATTTCCTACCCTCTGCTTGCCTCCCCCTTTTCAAATGCCCTGTTCTTGAATTCTCTGCCCTGTGTGCAGATTTGGCTTCCTGGCTCCTACTCCAGGGCCCCACTCAAAGTGGCTGCTCCAAGTCAAATCCTCTCCAGAACTTAGATCTGTGCTCTGCACTTTACTATGTCATCAAGCAAGTTACTTTCCATAGCTCAGTTTTCTCATCTGCAAAATGGGACCGTATCCCTCCTTCATATGGGTGTTGTAAGAATGGAGAGAGAGAGCATGTGAGAGGGTTAAGAACAGGGGTTGGCACATTGTAAGTGCTAAGTAAGTGTTAGACATTATCACTGTTATTATTATCATATATCATATAAATATCATATTATTATTATCACATGCACACAGACATGCAAATGCATCCCCACCCCACCCCGAACGCATTTCAGTCCTGTCTTGCTGAGCCACCCGCCTCTATCCACAGCACTGAGATCTTCTAATTAATACACATTGCAGTCCAGAATGACGCCACTGCCCCTGAAAAACAAATAAACCTCTCTGCAAAATAGTTGTTCCACCTGCCTCTTGGTTTGGGTTTTCTAACCCCTCCGTCATAAAACTTACCTCCACGGGTATTATGAAAATTTCTAAGTGAATTAATTGGAGTTTGTTTATTAAAAAAAAATAACAACAGCATTTTCAGATGGAAATGGAAGAGGCTGATGCAGAAGGAAAACGAGATAGGTAACTCAGCTTCCAAAAGATGGGGGGCTTGGAGGGAGATATGACCTTCCTTCCTTCCTTCCTTCCTTCCTTCCTTCCTTCCTTCCTTCCTTCCTTCCTTCCTTCCTTCCTTCCTTCCTTCCTTCCTTCCTTCCTTCC